TTATTTATGATCTTGTCTTATATCAAAAGTTGTGTAAAGAAATTTTAAATCATATATATATATTGAAAAAAATTTATTAAAATAATTGTCACTCCATTTAATAAAATTACTAGAAATTGTTATAATTCTTTCGACGATAATAATCCTTGTCAGATAATTTTTGCTCCATTTATTATATTCGAACTTACTAAAATAAGTTTGTATTTTCAATTCAATGTGGCGCTTTTTATTTCTAAAAACAACTAATTTATATTCATTTTGTAATTTGTCTCATTTATCACAAATAGATTATATAGTTTTGTAGAGCCTTGAATCGTTCCGTTTGTAACACGATTGCAGGACTTTACTAGTCATTGTTTGATTTGAACTTTTCCATGGAATTATGACATAATATTTAGTTTTTAATTTATTTTGAAAATCGATCAGCAATATAATTAAGTTTATTGGTACTAAAAGAATTGATATTAAAAACAAACAATGTTAAATACGTAAGCATGCATTCGTCTCGAATTCCCAAATGCCGGCTTTCCAAAGAAATGATTTAATCATAAAATAAAATAGCTAAAAATATTCCATGGAATTATGCCCCATTACGTGTTCCATATGATCAAAAAATATTTGGTTGGAAAAAGACATTAATTGTTCAAATTTCGTCAGTAATTACGACACATCCACCAAAGCCTTGTGTTTGAATGGATGCTTGCTCCGTTCTCAAACAAAGTTCGAGTCAAAAGCATTATCAATTGACTAATTGTGTTTCTTAAATTTTGTTTTTGCTTTCACTAGGAGCCTACGTCGGTTTCCTTCGACACAAAAATTATTGTAATTCCTAGTAATTAAAGTCTAATGAATGCTTAATCTGCAGTCATTCGGCGGCTTTTGCATCACACTGTCATTGCCCTTTGAACTTATTCGTTGCTCCTACCTCCAATCATTGATTCAATTTCAACCGGAAGTCATGGTATAATTCAATTATTTACAACGTGATATAATTGATTAAGTTTTATAACATAAAACATTAAGAAAATATTCACGTAATTTTACTAAAACGATTTGATGAGAAAATGAAAAACGAAATTGTTTTAACAGATTATAGATTTAAATGGAATGATTTAAAGAGTAAAGTTCATGTAAAATTGAAATGAAATGGTAGAAAGAATAGTGGGAACAAAACCTGTCGGAGAATGCAAGTTGAAGCATGCATGAAATCACACAAAATAATATGAAAATGCAAGTTGATACTGTCCTCTCAACAGCTACATTTGATTAAACAGGTGTCGTTTTCAGGCTCATCATCAATTCATTTCTCTAAATCAAAAGCTCAATTTAACCACTCCATTCAAGAAATTTAGACAACGTTTTTAATATTCCAGCGGTTTGCAAGCGTAGAAAAGCCAGACGTAATGCTGCAAGAAATTACAATGGAAAGCTTATGAAAAAGACAATCCGTGCTATGTTAGAATCATAGCAAACTCATAATTCCAAGATTCCCACATTTTTTACAATTTTTTATGTTAAACATAACCCTTTTTTTTCTTTAAATTATTCAAATAAACAAAAAGAAAAATTAGTAGGCCTAGGTATGCCGTATAATCTAAGTTCATAAGATCTTTTTCTATACCATATTCAATTTCTTATTTGTTCTTAGTCCTCAGATAAGCCTAATTTCCCAGTTTTTTAATCATTTCCAGCTTAAGCCTTGAAAGGGCAATAGATTTTTTTAAATCATTGATTATTAGAGAAACAAAAAGGATCTTTGGTTCAGGAATTGGAAGGAAATTTTGGTTTGCTTATAGAGGAGGGAACTGCTTCTTTGGAGCTAAATTTTGTTTAAGGTTTGCTTACAGAATAGAGTTGGTCTAAGCATTTGGTTTGGAGGGACTCCAAAAATTCCAATCCTCAAATGATTGATAGAATCCATTTGTTCACAGGCATAAGTTATTGCAAATATGGTCAATGGTGGAAACGAGGGAAACTTGGAAGGTGATTCTTTCCTAAAGCCTGGAACTATCAAGCAGAGTTTTGATTCATACCAATTGCTGCCGAGTCATAGAAGTTCGGGAGAGAAAAGTGCCATGGAGACTGAGGGGAGGCAGTTTTCAGATTTTTACAGAAACTCGAGCGAGGAGCTGTTTCTCAAGTCATTGATGGAGAGTTCAATCGGGATGCCAGTTCCAACCATGGAGATGCTGGGGTTTAAGAATCTTTCTCAGAATTTTCGTGCAGATAGTGAGGAGCTTTTCAGAAGCTGGCTCACCAATGGAGAGGCAAGCAATTATAACCAGGGACCCTATAATTTAAAACTTTTTTACTTTGTAATTTCTAGTTCAAAATCTTTTATTCTGGTAAGGCATTTTGAGGTCTGATATAGATTCCTCCTTTATGATCTGATCATTGCGGGTTTCCAGAATCAGGGTCACAATTCTTCGAGCATAGCACATCGTACTCGACAAGCATCACGAAGGTGAGTGGATATCATCACCTTCAATCTCGAAATTGCTTTCCCTAATCAAGAAATGACATGTTTATTACTTGGGAAATGCGTGCAGATTATCTACCGAGATGGCCAGTTTGTCGTGTCAGCAACCTGGAACTTCGCTTCAAAAGAAAAAGAGCAGCGATGACTTGTTTTTGCAGAATAATTCCATTGGGGAAGAAACCTTAGGGGACGTCAATCAAAATTCCATGAGGTGGTGGTTACTGCAGAACACTTGGAACAGCTACTATTACTTAGTTACAAGATCACTTTATTCGAATGATTTACTTTGGGTTCGTTTTTTTATCAGGACTGCTGTAGAAAAGGGATTGCAGGCTAGTAATTTGTATCTGGCCAAGGTTAGTTTGTGCATAGCTCTTTACAGAACCTTCAATTGAGCAACGTTTCACGATCTTTTGATGTTATCCCAACTTTTTACTGCAGGCATGGTTTCATAGTTCACAGCCCATGACAAGAAGTAGATCTTCTGAACTAAGGTATCAGTAATTTCTAATTTACGCTCAGAACAATTCCTGTCCATCAATCCATGGGAAGTTTTAAGTAATGATAGTCATTGTGCTGCTCTTTCGGTTGGGTTACCAATCAATGTCTCTGATATATACCTTCATTGATTTGTTATAAAGGAGGAGGTATGCTGCTATGCAAAATGCTCAAACATCACTTGGCATGGAGGATGTACTCAATTCCTACGGAAATGGTGTCAATAAAATGAAAGAAGAATTATCAGATCCAAATGGTTTCAATGGCATCCCCATGTGTGAGATTCCTAATCAACTGGGAACATTCATGTCCCCAACAAATTCGTCCTCCTCCACTTTTAATGCACCCCAAACAGGAAATGTAGACAAAGTATCTTCTGTTGTCAGCATGCTAAAGGGTACACTAGAACGCAAAAAGCTTGGCAACCAGATTGAGAAACAAGCTTGTGAAGATAGTTCCATTATGCCTAATAGCACCTTCAACCAGGGACAAGGAAATCTTTTTCATGAAATTCCAGGGGCATTTGCAGAAGTATCCCTTGGCCAAGTACCAAATGCCGGGGTTGTGCAAGTTGTTCAAGGGCCTATGGATCTTGACCTGGAAGGTTTTGTAAATCCCACAAACACAATTCAGATGAGCACAGTTTCTCGAGAAGCCTCTCAAAGTGAATCCTCAGCTGCTGCTCCGGTGGTTTCATCTGGTTTTGATGCATGTGATGGCCCCAGCAACTCAAGTCAAACCTTAAGCATTTGTGAAAGCTCAAAGAAACAAGTTGGAAATGGTAGGAGCTCAGAAAATGGCTGTAAATCTAAAGGTAAGCAGTTCACAGTATGACGAAACATGCTACTGCAATCTACAGAACTGGCTTCTATCACTAGAATCTATATGAATGCATGAGTTTAATTGATGAATAACCAGTTTTCCTACGAACCATATGCTGATTCACTCATCATTTGACATGAGTTCATTCTTTCAAACTTACAGCGGATTTCCGAGAACGGATAATTGATAATCTGAAAGATGATCGGAAGGTATTCTTCATTACTTGATATGAGTTTTAACATTTTCCTCAAAAGCTTCGTGAACCTAGGGGGTGTTTTACTTACCTTTCACTTCTCTTGGTTGTTTACCTTGGAATCATTAGCAGAGGGGAGGCCTAGTACGTTATGGATCTGTGACATCAGCTGGTTCTGGTACTCACCTTCCCCATTACATGCATTTCTCTTCATTGTTTCAGTTCTAATCCTGTCCTCCTGAATTGAAACTGAATTACTGTTCTTGAAAATTGTCTCATTCCTTTTGCATGGTGAATAGATAACCGTATCATCTTTCACTAACCGACCCAAAAACAATGCAGCAGACAGGGCAGACCCAACGAAAAAACGAAGAGTGGAGCGGTCAAGAAAGTAAGTGAAACAGTCTGAGCAACTCTTGGGAGAGTACCCTCTTCCTTAGCAACGAGCTCTTTCTTCATCCTTTAGGATTTTCCAAAGCTTTTCACTTATCTGCTTTTCCATGGTTAAATCAATACCTCTTGACATAGTTTGAAAATCGTTTGTTTACATTCAATACTTGATGATTCAGAATGGCAGAGGCAAAAGAAAGGAATTCAACCCCTGCAATTCCATCCGACATGCAATCAGTCTTGAAGCGTTGCGAAACTCTTGAGAAGGAAGTTCGTTCACTCAAACTCAACTTGTCTTTCATGAACAGGTAACAGCAGATCGTTGTTAAGTTACTCGTGATAGGTCAATTGTAGAGTAACTCAAATCAAAATGTAAGAAACAACTCAGGATTGGTTGCTGCCAATCCTGATGCACGTGAGAAAATTTCTTAACCATTACAAGCTCTGAGGGCTCATGTCTCTGCACTGATAGAAGCTCATTAGCAGCCAAGAACACACTTTTAGATTAATATCAGCATTGGTTGCTTTTTCATCATTATTAACCGAATTCATTCCTGTACCTATAAAATCTCAGAAAGGACTCGGAGCAAACTAAGCAGATAGAAGAGCTTCAAAAGCAGAATGAGGAGTTGACAGATGAAAAGGAGCGCCTCTTGGAAGAGATTGAGAGGATCATTGCGGATTCAGGCAACATGTAAAAACATGCTTTCCTATAGACGGGACTGTTGCCACCTCAGATGTTGTCGGCAGGTTAAGCAGCTCAAGTTGTGGCTGACAGCAACAGGAAATTTCCAAAGATTATACAAAACTGAAAACTCTACCCCTAGCTAGGCATCTAAAATTGGCATGAATATACAAAGCATAGCCGCATGGGCATCGTTGTCTGCCGAGATTATCTTTGTGTGGGTTTGTCCAGCAAAATGAGCAAATAGTTGCTGAATATAAAGCCTAAAGCTAAAGAGTGATAAGCAGCCCGTTTCCTTGCCTCCAACTTGTATAAAGCATGGTCTCAGCTTTAACTTGAAACGTCTGATCTGTTGCATCAACTGGCACTACCTCCAATGGCCACCTCCAGGCTGACCATAAATCATTAAAAAGGAACGATAATTCAAAACTAAATGCTTCTTTGCTACTCTGTTTGGTTTTTTGGGGAAGCAGGATACTATACAAGCAACAGAGTTTCTACTTTCTCATTAAGAGAATAGAGGACCTATTGGAAATTGTATCCCACTTTTTCCAAGTTAACATTCTGAATTCCTAATTTATTTATAACCTTTCAACTTGTTTGTATTCTACCCTTTCAAGTTTAAGTAAAAGAATAAGAGCCTAAACCTGAAAAACAGAACTACAAAGTCTGCAACAAGATATCGCTTACATGTATTACTACCCGCGACCAATAGCAAAACAAGGGATATTGCTCGTAATCCTCTTCCATGCAGAAAATGAAACATCCACTGTGAAATCCTGAATCTCTCAGGTACAGTAATGCATATTATACATCAGCATACTACCGTTGTATGCCGTAAATCAACTGTACATGACCCTTTCTCTCTGCTCCTTGTAATCTTTGCTGAGCTGTTATCTACCTGGTGACCAAATACATCAGTTTACCACTCAATTTTACATCTTTCCACAAGGAAAGCCACATGACTCAACTCCAAATTCACATACCAAGTCCAGGGGCAAAAAACAAATAGCACATACAAAAAGAGTGCTGCCTAGTAGTTGTAAACGTTAATCACTGGGATATTGAGCCTCCTCCAGTATTGGGATACCAACCAACCCATAACAGAAAAGTACACTAGCAGAAAACAAGCACGCTTGGTGTGGACTGTATTAAGGGCTTGAGGCAACCAGGACTTCATATGTTGTAGAATTCTAATGAAGCTAATAGTAATTATAGAAGTTGAAAAACCAGTAACAACACCAGCTATTGTTTCCCACTTCCAATAAATAGCTCTCCCCTTGCTGGAAAGCCACGAGTATAGAATCTTGGTGGATCTGATGGCATCATAACAACAAATAATTAGATAGAGGAAAACAACATTAACCCACAAAGGCCTCAAACAGACACATTCATATCATTTCCTACTCGATCATTTTTCAAAACTTAAATGATTTCATTTTTAACATTTAACAGTTCCTAGTAGAAAGCATTATGGCCACTAAAACCCAACATCAACCACAATAATACTACAAATATTTTGAAGCTCAAGCTCTAAGCTAATGCAAATTCAGAGACAATATACACGAGTGGTGAAGTGAAAACTCTTATCTTGTCAGCTACTGATTTTTGAGAAGATCAATGGTGGTAACATTTTAGAACTATGATCAGAAAAAGAGATTAGTAAATGCAATAACTTCGAGTTAATTTAATTAAGAAAAAATAAGGCATAAAACTTTTTGGCATCATTCTCGGCAAAATATCAACTGCTGTGTAAAGCTAGAGAACTTATCCCATCTGCATTCAGCTTTCACATGTCCACTTCACTAAGACCCTACCCTCTCTCTCTCCCTCCCTTTCTCCTTTACTAGACTTCACTACCTTCTTAGGCTTTTCAAATCTAATCTCATTGGAAACCCACATTCAGATATTCTTATTCTCTCTTCTCAAGTTTCAGAGAGAGCTGTGCTGCTGTTCCCCGAATAATGTTCACTACAGCCAAACAACCCAACAACTTCAGCTTTCCACTCATTACAAACCCAAACCTTCCCCTCTAGGCTATAGCTACACTACCACAAAATAAATTTGCTGAGAAAAGCCTCTTTTCTCTTGCTGCTGCACTAGTTAATCAGCTTGAAACAAAATGAACCTCATTGTGATTCCAAACGCTTGAATTTCCAATTTTTCAAGCCTAACACACCCCGCACCATTGCAGGTAGACTTCCAAAAAGGTAATAAAGTCCCAATCCAAAAAGTATTGACACACTTCCAAAAAGGTAAATAATCAACTCACATTATTAAATATCGTTCGATCATCTCGAATGTGGACGGATCTTTTGCTTGGCAACTGAAAAAGCCATCATTATACAACTTGACTTTGGAAATACCAGAAGTGTACCAGCAGTCATAAGTTTCATTAACCTGAAAAATGAGAAACCAACAGATTATAAAATTGCATTTAAAAAAACAAATCAGGTCTGCACATTATCATGAGTAACATTAGAAACTTCCAAAAAGCTACCTTGAATTTATCTTTGGTCAACCATGCAGCACCGAAGTTTGGCCTGCAACTAAGAGGAAGTGCCTCATTCGGTGCCTCAGTGAAGGCAAGCCGTGTCTGACCCAAAGAATGGTCTCTATACTCCACCTGAAATTGTTTAGCAGAAAATCATATAAAAAAGGTGATAGTTTATAGAACTTAAGACTCCTACTTTCCTACATACTTCGCAGTATTTCAATTTTCATAATCTTAATCTATCGTTTCAGTGATGTAGCTAAATTACAAAATTTGGCAAATCCAATAACCATACCATAGATGGTTACAGAAAAACAATCGAGATCAAAAGGTATGTTTTCCCACAATTAAAGCAAAACCAAAACTTCCAAAATTAGTAAAAATAAGGAGCTCATGACTTAAATCAGATAACATTACCTCAAACACAGAGGTCCAATAGTAATCATATCGGCATCTAAATTTGCTTCTCTCGAAATGATAAAACACGTGCTTCGCTTTATAATTCAATAATCCAAGCTCACAAATCTTCGATGCCCTAATATCCACGCCTAATTTCAAAGTTTAAAATGAAAAAAAAAATTGCATTACCAGATATTTCAATAATTGGAAATACAGAAACAATAAGTAAACTTGCTAGTTAAACACCTCGAAAATTGTGCTAAAATCAAAACAATAATTCTGAAAAAGATAGTCCAAATACTATAAGAAGAAAAGTCAAAGTTTGATTCTGTAAGAGAAACAGAGAAAAACTTACTGCTAGAGACTATCTTGCACTGTGTGGGAACAGTAATCGAATTCGGAATCGATAGTTCCCCGATAAAGACCGCAACGAACCCGACTAGAAATGATAAGGAAAAGAAAGCGAAGATGGGGAAGAGAAGAGCAAAAGCGATTCGAAGCAACATGCAGAGAAAACCCTTGTTACCATTATCGGGGACTTCTTGAGAATCCATACATTCAAAGGCGAGAATCAGCGGGAGTTACACAACTTATTTTTCTCTGAGTGCGCCGGTCACCGGAACCATTTATCCGGTGATCGGAGAGTTTTTGTAAGTCAGAAAAAACAGAGCACGCTACACTAGGGATCGCTGCGTTTTAAAGGTTTTTTTTTTTTCTCTTTTCTTTTTCGGGGGATATTTTTGGCAGCGGACATCGAAAGTGCATGACATGTGAGACCACAATATCAATATCTACATGGATACGCTCATTAAAATTTGAAAAAGTAATCTCCTAAACAAAATATTTATTATTATTAAATTTGAATACTATTAATATCAATATCTACATGGATACGCGTAATTAATATTATTATTTTTCAAATTTAATATTAAATTTCATAAAAATCAAAGAAAGACAAAAGAAGAAGATGAAACATATTTGTCTCTCTTATCAGTAATTAAATATTTAAATTTGCAAATTATTTTATAATTTAGATATTTAATACTTTTGAATTTGAAAAAGTAAAAAAATTATGAAAATAAATTTATAATAGAGACCAAAATAAGAGTATTGGGTGTCTAAATAAGATACTTTATTTTGAGTCATCTCAAAAATTAAAAAAAAAAATAGGTGAAGGAAAGTGGATGAAATGTAACATTAATTTAACACTTTATAGTAAAATTTTTTTAAAAAAATTAACACTTAATAGCAAGATGATATCTCCATGTTTAAAGAATTATATCAAAATCTTCCTTTCTCAATAAAAAAAAACATAAGATTATTATTTTTATTTATTACTTTTACATTGATTTAATATAAAAAAGAACATTAAACTTATACAAGATTATTCATATAAATTCTTAATTTTTTAATGTCTCTAAATGAGTTTTTAAACTTTTTCATCAATGTTACACGCCAATGCGTCCTGATGATGGCGGTGGATGAGGTCGCTTGTGGGTACTGAGATCACTAAAAAAATCATTTTCATAATTTCTCTTATAGTCTCTTATATATTTTAATTGGAGTAATTTTTTGTTTGGAAATCTATTTCGTTTTTTCAAAATCTTCAAAAAAAATTTTGAAAATGTAGAATTTTTAAATTTTCATTGTTCTTAAATTTTTAAATTTAATGAAAAAAGAAAAGTATTTCAAAAAATTACTCTTATTGAAAGAAATAGAAAAAGTAAAGAAATAAAAAATAATTATTTTTAGTGATTTTAATGATGATTGACGACTTGTGACCACCAAATGGGTCACATATTACCTATAACCTCACTCAATATGTCAATATATATATATATATATATACAAATAGATAAAAAATTGACAATTATCATTAAAACAGATAATAATTATATATATATTTTTATAATTACGAAAAAAAATTCAAACTCTACTATTTAAATATGAGATAATGCACCAACGCTCAGACATTAAAAATAATTGTACTTCTATTTATGTAATTTAAAATAAAAGTTTGATAAATCGTTTAAGTGTAGTAAAAAATTAAAGATTTATTTAAATAATTATATACATTTCAAGAATTTTTTAATGTTATGTTTTTGATGTTTTAATTTTTTTGATAATTTTTTATATTTTAATTTTTAGAATAATGACTTTCACATTTTAATTTTAAGAGGAAATATGTCGTGGCTGTGACGCACCCTAAACTATAATGATAAAATGTGAAAATAACTCTAATCGGAAATAAAGATAATAAAAATCTTACTAAAGATCGGACAAGGGGGAGTTTCCCGCAAGCGGCACGGACAGGCACGTTCCCATTTACCAGCAGCGTACTCGGGAAGTCTTGAGTCAAACTAAGGGACACGTTAGGAATTTCGGAAAATTCCAGGCCCGTAAATTGGAACCAAAATTTCCAAAATTCGAGACTTGGCGCTCTCTCTCTCTCTCTCACTCAAATAACTGGCCAAGTTAGTGTAGTGGCGCTTCATTCTTCCTGCCCTAGGTTTCTTCCCCTTTAGTCCTTCCATTTCTCTCAAAAATCAAAACCGACGCCGATCGTTCGAATTTTCTCACTTTCTCTCCGTCCGAACAGCCGATTTGTCTCCGAAAGTCCCTAGTTTCAGGGTTTCGATGGGGGTGAATCTAACGGGAGGGGCGGTGGGTCGGATTATAAACAGAGAGGTGGCGAGCGAGAAGGATTTGAAACCTGTGCTTCAAGTGATAGAGCTGAAGAGGTTCAAACGACGTCGAAGAATCAGCAACAGCAGCAGCAAGAACCCAAAAAGAGCGAGAGGTTCAGGCTATTGCTATCGGATGGGTCCTTGGCGCAGCAAGGGATGCTCACGACCAATAAGAACGAACTTGTCAAATCCTCAAAGTTGCAAGTTGGTTCCATTGTTCAGTTGACTCAGTACATTTGCAACGTCATCCAAGATCGCATGTTCTCTCTCTCCCTCCCTCCGAAAACCAAAAAAAAGAAAGGATCTTTCCTTAATTATACCATGTCTCTTTCACCATTCATTTGAAGATCCTTTTCGAATATAAAGAACTTATATTATTTTGGGTTTTCAACCTGTGACCGGTATGTTTACTTGTTTCTTTCTTGTGTTTTTGGGTGGATTTTAAGGATTTTTGTCTTGTACTTGTAAATTGATACGGAGCTTGCATTGGGTGTGTTGAGGGTTGAGAGGAAATTGAATTGCACTTTAGTAACTTAATTGATCTCTACCGAATCAATTCTGCTGGTACATCTATTTGAGACTGCAAGTTTTGGAATTGCATGGTATAGTTTTGGTTTTTAGTGGGTATGACAGTGACTTGGTTCTTAACCGATGCCACTTTCTTAATCGCTTGAGTTTTGGGGACTTTATCATCATATATGGTATATAGTATTGCATCGTTATATGTCTAACTATTGATTTGACCGTTTAAATTCATGTTTTCCAATTTGTCGAAATTGATGTTCAAAATTAAAGTGTTACATTCTTTGAGTGATGGGATCTGTGTTAATGTCCCCTTAAGTTTTTGACTCAAGATGTGAAGTATGTTTGCATCTATGTGGGGGTTCTTGTGTTAATTTTTTTGATGACATTATGCTCAATCCCATCCATGCAGGATTGTTATTATTATTGAGTTGGAGGTGATAATTGAAAAATATGATATCATTGGGAAGCCTGTTCCAGCACCAAAATCTTCTAGGCCCACACAAGTCCCTACTGATCAACCTGGGACGGTAATGGCACAGACCAACTCTTTTGGAGGAAGCTCAGTTGGTGGCAGTATGGCTGATAAGCTGAACTCAGCTGGGATCCCACTACAGCAGCCTAGAATGAATGCATTGCATGGTAGTTCTTTTCCGAATGAAGCTGAGCCAGTAAGATGTCCAGCTGCTAATTCACCACCTGTTTATCCTAAAGCACAGCCTTGTGCTGGTTTTCCTGGATCTTCACCTTTAAGTGAGCCATATGGTGTTCAGAGTACAGGTTTTCATAACCCTAGGCCAGCAGCTTCACGTCCTCTAAGCACCCCTAACCGGCAACCCATACCTGCCTATCAACAGCCATCCCCAATGTACTCTAACAGAGGACCAGTAGCCAAGAATGACGCACCACCCAGGATAATCCCAATTTCTGCTCTAAATCCCTATCAGGGAAGGTGGACCATAAAAGCCAGAGTAACAGCAAAGGGAGAACTTAGGCGCTATAACAATGCTCGTGGTGAAGGTAAAGTTTTCTCTTTTGATCTCCTTGATTCTGATGGTGGGGAAATACGGGTGACCTGCTTTAATGATGTGGTTGATCAATTCTTTAACCAGATTGAAGCTGGTAGGGTTTATATGATTTCTAGGGGAACTCTAAAACCTGCACAGAAGGCATTTAATCACCTCAATAATGATTATGAAATTTGTCTTGATAGCACATCAATAATACAGCCATGTTATGAGGATGACAACAAAATTCCACGGCAGCAGTTTCATTTTCGGACCATAATTGATGTTGAAGGCATGGAGAACAATAATATTGTGGATATAATTGGTGTGGTCTCATTTATTAGTCCTGCTGCTTCAATAATGAGGAAAAATGGTACAGAAACTCAGAAGAGAACCCTTCATTTGAAGGACATGTCTGGCCGAAGTGTTGAATTAACTTTGTGGGGAAATTTTTGCAATGCTGAAGGACAAAAGCTCCAATTGTTCTGTGATTCTGGGGAGTTTCCAGTTCTGGCTGTGAAAGCTGGTAGGGTGAGTGATTTTAATGGGAAGGCAGTGGGTACTATCTCTACAAGCCAGTTATTTATAAATCCTGATTTCCCCGAGGCTCACAGGCTCAAGGAATGGTTTGTCACTGAGGGGAGGAACACTCTCTCTGTCTCTATTTCTAGGGAAGCATCAAGTGTAGGTAGGACAGACAATCGGAAAACTATATCACAAATCAAAGATGAGGGGCTAGGAACTTCTGAGAAGCCAGATTGGATTACAGTTGTAGCAACCATTGCATACATTAAGTTGGACAATTTCTGCTATACAGCTTGTCCCATCATGAATGGGGATCGTCCATGCAACAAAAAGGTTGCAAATAATGGAGATGGGAAGTGGTGGTGTGACAAATGTGATAGGTCTGTAGATGAATGTGACTACAGGTATATAATCCAGTTCCAGATACAAGATCATACAGGCATTACATGGGTGACTGCTTTTCAGGAATCTGGTGAGGTTCTCATGGGTGTGCCTGCGAAAGATTTGTACTATTTGAGGTATGAAAACCAAAATGATGAAAAATTTATGGAGATCATGCGTCAGGTTATGTTTAACAAATATATGTTCAAGTTGAAAGTAAAGGAGGAAACTTTTAGTGATGAACAGCGTGTGAAGTCGACAGTGGTGAAAGTAGAAAAAGTAAATTTTTCATCTGAAACGAGGTACCTTTTGGATTTGATTGATAAGATTAAAGCAAATGATTCTAGTTGTTTTGCATCAAAGGCAGAGATTACCACCCCTAATCACAGAATGGATTATAGTGGAATAGGGACTGATGGAAGCAAACATCTCGCACCAACTGCTGGTAGAGAATATGGGTTACCTGCATATCAAGGTGGTCACTATGGAAACCAGGACAGTGGTTCTAGGCTTAGAGAAACTGCTTCAAGCATGGATGTATTCTGTAACAGTTGCGGAGTTACTGGTCATAGCTCTACAAATTGCCCTACCATCATGAATGGTCCAGCACAGTCTATGGGGAGGGACTATACTGGTAGGATATCTTCTGGGCCAATTGTTGGCCGTACCTCAGATGAGTGCTATAAATGCCATCAAAGTGGGCATTGGGCCAAAGATTGTCCGAGGTCAGGTCCATCTTATGGAAGCACTGATTTTTCGTCTGGGAGATACGGAGGTGTTTCAAGGCAGCAGGTTGGTGGGTTTTGAAGTCTCTTCTACCCTGCCAAATTGTGGGTTACAGGCTTCACATGAGTAAGGCATTGGGAGCCGTGAGCTGCGTCTGGAATGTCATTCGGGGCAAAACTCTTTGCTGAATCCTAAGGTGAACTTAATAGGTTAGAACTATCTCGTGTCCCTCAAAACTGAACATTCTAACTTCGGGTCTCGGAGTTTCATTTTCTATGTCTCCTGTTACCTTGTTTTCCTTTTCCTTTTTGTTTGTATTATACTTTGCTTCTGTGGAGATTGCCGGCCCTCTGTAATTTCCTTGTTCGGAACTTTTAATACGCTGGTACAGGTTCTTTCCATTCTAATTAGAATTAGTCATCCGCAGGGGAAAAGCCTGATGAACTCGCCTGCCTGGAAAGGGTTGCCTGCTCAGGCATGTTTTGTTTTGGTGGATGTCTTCTTGTATTCACTTTTTGGCATAAATTAATTCCAGGATATCCCTATCGTTTGTATATACATGTTTATATGTTCTACATGTAAAAAGTGAAATTCTATATCTTCTTTGGACCATCGGAAATTGTCTTCGTCCCTATCCATTGTGGCTGACCGAGTTCCCAAATTATGCTAATAACTACTTCCATTGATTCTTTGCTCCTCCCTCGTACTTGAAAATTTTAAGCTCGTTGGGCCACTGCCCACTAACTGCTTAAACCTATTTATATACAAGTAAGATGGATATCTAAACCAAAAAACTGAATCGAATCCAAAACAGATATTGCTTACTCAAATCTCATATTAAACCTTTAATAAATTTAATTAGATGCAATAAAACAGAATTTGGGTGCTAGGCCAACCACGTTGATGACCGGTAATTGAAAGTAGCCGAGGTGCAAAATGACCTGGTGAAGCCGGTCATTGCTTTGATACCAACACAATAACCTGCCCTCGTGATTCGTGCGCGCGTTCCTCTCTTGTGTCAGCCACACGTCTTTCTTTGCAGCTTTCTGCCCCTCTCTCTGTGCTCCGCTTGGGAGTTTCAGCCCAAACGCCGACCAAATCATCCGAAGAAAAATCCTTTACAGGTACAAAACACACCGCGATTTTAGCTTCTACCTAAGTTTTCTGCGAACCCATTTCTTTTTGTTTCCTCTTAGACTAGAATTAGAATGAAATTTTATGGTTCTTATTGATTTCATGTGAATTATTATCGAAAATTGATTGCTTTTGTCTTGAGTCTGCTTAGTTGGTTACCGTTCAATTTTTTGTTGATGTTGAATTGCATTTGGCTTGAACTATTCATTTCCAATTATCGTATGTCATTTGCCCATATGGATACTCATTGCTCTTTCATTTTTTTTCCTGTATTTTTTCTGTTCTTGATGGATTTTAATGAAAAATTTTTCAGCTTGAATTAGGAGTGATTATACAAATGAATATTTGTAGTAATTATAAGCATTTTTCTTGAGCTTCAATTGCTTTAATCAGGAGCTGGTTCTAGCCTAAAGGATTCTGCAATTAGTTTAAAGTTTCTATTAAACAAAATCTATTATCAAGCTAAGGCGATGAATAGTGCTTGACGCAAATAAGGAACCATCAACAACGATTTACTTTGCATTTGGCTTTTCCTTTGTTGCCAAAAAGAATTTCCAGGTGTGTGTTTTCTTTGTAATTTAGGGGGGCAAAGTGGATTATGCCGGTGGGAAAGTTTCTATGTGCTTAGTGATGTGATAACTTGATACTTGAAAACTTCAGGCAGCTTTCAGGATAGCCACAGTTATCTTTGTAAATGGAGGTCCTTTCCTGCCCTTCCTGGCAACCCATACATTTGTTTTCTGATTTGAGTTGCAGGTGCATTGTGTTGGTTTCTTGAAACGATGGACTTCTGGTTTAAGGGAATTAATGAGGACATGTCTGAGTGTTCCTTTAATGAGAGGGACATTCAGAGATGTCCATTTCTTAGGAACATCAACAAGCCCACAAACTTCTCAGTCTCTTCACTGAATTTCCCCATTCCTGTAAGTTCTCTTAGCCTCTTTGATATCCTTTGGCTGGTAGTCATGCATTGATGTTTATATGTAGATTCTGAACTATTATGTAGGCCTTGCACCAGAGTTGATTTTGTCTATACCTTTCTGCAGGTACAGGGAGCAAGAGGTCCAATATTTGAAGATGCTCCAAATTTTGATATGGCGTTTAAGCTCTTTCATGGGAAGGATGGCATTGTACCACTCTCGGGGAGGTGGTCTGATGGCGGCTGTAATGTCTGAAACAGGGGCCTACTCCCCAATTTAACCCCTTAGCAGCAAAAGTTGCAACAATCAGTCTGTCAGCATTTGTGGTGGGAGGACCATTCAGCTTTGTCCCTTCACGGATAAATGGAAGAACCAGAAAAAGAAACTGACTCATCCAACAAGCAAGAAACCTCTTCTCAGGTAATCCACATTCTTACACCAAATGCAATGTTTTATTTAGAGGAGTGATTGAAAGAATTTTTTTTTTTTTTTGGGGGGGGGGGGGGGTGGGTGAGAGGGAAGAACAGATGAAAGAAAATATCATTTGCACAGGGCTACGTTTGCAAATAAGAGGTCGTCCAGCATAAATATAACATGTTGTGGGGTGTCGACATGAACTTTGGAGCAACCAATCCTTAAGAACCAGTTGGAAGATTTGGACTTATGATTTCTGTAGGACTGTCTAATTAGGCTCCATCCTTATTAGTTCTGAACTACATTGATGTCTTGCAGAGAGATTATTTTATAGGCAATGGCTGCTTTCTGCAAGCTTAGCAGTATGAAATATAATACCAATGTGTCCCTTTTAGACAATGCATCTGATACCAAATAACCACCGAAAACTCCACTGATTCTGAGCTTTTGTGTGATTTTTCAGAATGGGCATTCATCAAACCATGATGTTTTGGGAGATGAGTGGTTACAAACTGGGAATTGCCCAATTGCGAAATCCTACAGAGCAGTGAGTCGTGTCCTACCATTTGTGGCAACAGCTCTTCAACCCCCACCTGGCATGAAGCTCAGATGCCCCCGTGCTGTTGTTGCTGCAAGGGCTACCCTAGCACGCACCGCCCTTGTTAAAAATTTACACCCTCAGCCACTGCCTGCAAAGGTGTTTGTTATTGCTCTCTTAGGCATGGCGGCTAATGTGCCTTTGGGTGTTTGGAAGGAGCACACTGAGAAGTTTCACATATCATGGTTTGTCGCTGTGCATGCAGCCGTGCCCTTCATAGCCATGCTTAGGAAGTCAATCTTAATGCCCAAAACAGCTATGGCTTTGACCATCGGGGCTTCAATCCTGGGGCAGGTTGTTGGCTCAAAGAGCTGAAAGGCATCGACTGAAAGCAGTGGCTGAAAGGGAGAAGGTGGCTGCTCAGACAGCAATTGATATTGCTGTGGCTGGGTATAATGATCTAAGCCAGGTCGATTGCCATTGTGGTAGAGAAGGAACTATATGGGGACCCGTTCCAGTCAAGGCCGGTAGACCATCATCTTCATCAAACAATGTTTGTTATTGACATCAGCACATTCAACTGATGGAGTGAGACAAAATAAAAAATGAAACATTTGATGTTATAATCTTGAGAATACTTATACAGTTTACTCTAAATGTCATGCTGACGTGGTAAGAAAAGTAACTTACCTGTTCCTGGAGTTAGCCAACTCACTTATTGCTGGAGACGCGTTTCCTGTAAAATATTAATAGTATTTCGGTATGAATAATTCTTTGCAGTTTCTATCTGGAAAAATAACCAAGACTTTTGTTTATTATATCACCGAGTCTTTGCTCATTGCTTTGCTTTTGAACCATGGGCTTATGCACATGGAGAACAAGTATTGAGTCGTCTGGTTGCTAAATTCTACTATATAAATAAATTACTGTACCATTTGAATTCCGGCTATAAATGATAATATATAATACCATCCCCGATAATTAGGGAGAAAATGGAAAATCCAAAAGTGGAAAGCAGGACGAGATTCTCTATTCTCAAGGTAAGACAAAGTAGTTGTTTTTTCTTGACTTGTCCTGTTAAATATTTATCTTATGATTTCCTGGGAGGGTCATAAATTTCAATTTGGTTGAGATTGAGGATATCTAATTCTGAGGTACTATAATCTCGTAGGAGAGTTATAAAAGGGCGCATCGTGACACGGGGTTGAAAAGCAGAAATTCTTCCTCAAAGACTTTAACATGAACTGGCAAAAAGTCAAAGTTAAAAGTTTGGTCCTAATTAAGATGTGGGAGCATGCATGGTTATCTATTCATGTTTCGCCTCTACTTGGTATCTATTGTCGATTGCTTTACGATTAAATACGATTTCTCATTAAAGATTTACATCTTTAATTAAACATCTCAATCTAAGATAAATTTGGCTGTCGTTCTCCTTTGATATTAAAATATTTAAAGCATGTATGTACGGTCAAGAACATGCAAACGATAAGAAGAAGAATACAAAAGGAATACTTGTAAAAATAATCTTTTCATTCCAAGACAACATTACAACTAAACAAAGTGCTCAAAGACATGCATCCAAGCCTCTAGCCACCTTCCTTTGGTCCATTGGCAGATGGGATTTTGGGCAGAGTCAACACCCAGCATCACAAAGAAAATGGTTGGCAATTGGCAAAAGCCGAAGGCAAAGCAGATGAGAGATATGGGGAAATTATTGGAGGGCCTGAGGCACATGGGGGAAGAGAACATGCCATGTGGTGCTTCTAAAGCTCTTTCGCATTGCTTAAATGTTATTATATAAGATATATGTATAAAGCGACGGGCCCAATTACGTGCTAATCAGTCACGTAGGGTGTCCTTTTTTTCTCTTCGATTTGCAATAAAACGTGTTGGTCTCGTCACAGGAACTGCCCTACGCTAGCACCGTCGGTCACAATCTGGGGCTTCATTCCAAAGGGTTCTGCCCTTTGGGGGAGGAGGGGCCACCGCCTCCCTAACCCCATGTGAAATCATTCAATTTCTTGTCTAACCTCTCTCTCTCTCTCATTGCAAAATGGCACTTTCATGTCACATGATCATTGCTATCATCTGAATCAAATTCTTTCAATTTAGCTTGCAACCCATTTTTCATTTGGAGGTGATGGTCCGATCTATGACAAAAGAGCAAACTTAAAGATGCAGTTTCTAGCAATAATTTATCTTAGGTATTTAGACAAAACATGGTGGCCAAATGACTTAGGAAGTCAGTTTAATTAATCTACCAATTGTATCACTAGAATTCAATCCTATAGGTTGCGACCGTTTTAAGCATAATTATTGACATGCAATGAGTGGGTGGAAAACCACGAAATACTTTAAAATAATTTAACCCAAACAAAAAGGTTGGTGACAATAAGGACAAAACTAGTCTCTAAAGATTGAAATTTTCTCTTATTTTGTGCCTCCTCCTTGGTTGAAATTTTAATTTCGAGGGAGGAAAATGACAAATTTTTGCCTAAATTGCTTTTTCCATTACTTGCTTTAAGTGGTTAGCACATATCCAAGTTTGGGTTATGTGTTTTGTCACTAGTTTGATTGGCCAAAATGGAAAGCAAATGAAAAAGGAGGACGAAAATGAAAGAATGAAGTTGATTTGATTGGAGATGCATCTTAAATATTAAATACATGTGGCACATCATAATTTTAATTGGTATTTGATCAATCAGCTGAGTCATATATCAAACATCAATTTAGTTGAAAATGAGTTTGGATCATAAAGCAAGAATTATGATCTAGTTAGGTCATTTATTATCTATTTGCTTATTGCGTATTTAGTTTTAAATACAAAATTTTCAAAAAATCTATTCAAATCTTTTTTTCATCAATCCCGTATTTTGTACTTATAAAATTATTTTTATTCCTAATTAATATGTGAGTGTTTAATAAAATTTTGAATATTACTTGAATACTAAGATTCCACCAGAAAACAAAAAAAAAAGGTAAAGCAAAAAGATGTCATCGTTTGCAAGTGAGAGAGGCCATGCTAGCCAATTGCCTTTGTAGCTTAAACTGCAAGGCTTGGCAACTACAGTCATCATTAAATTTGAAGCTTGACTAATGACTAATGGTTTTTCTTTAACCATTTGTTATAATCTGATTTATAATCCGATTTATAAAATTTAATGAATTCATTTTTTTTTGGAAAAAAAAAAAGCAAATTTAATGAATTGGGTTACTTTTTTTAATTCTTTTTAGGTATCTCTCTCTTGTGGAGCAACCGTTGCTTATTATTTTGAAACGAATATATAAGAAAAACAAACATTTTAAAACGAAGAAAGTTCCTCTAAGTAATGTACGGTTTCACATGCTAAAACTTACAAAGGTAAAAATTCTAACGTGCATGGGAATTTAAGTTTTGTACAAATTTAACTTTTCACTCATTATAATCTTTAACTTTTGTGATGAATCACTCCTATAAAATCTAAAATCACCAATAACATGCAAAAAAACCTTTCATTCTGGCTTATTGCAATCATAATTTTGGATAGGTACCAGGCCGTTGAAAACTGTTCTTTGTCTTTGTTTGAATGCTACTTAAAACGTTATCTTTTTAAGATGTACAATTCAAATTATGGTTGTAATTTTTTTGTTTTTTAATTGATATAATATATAAAAAAGTTTCTAAATTGTTTATAAAAATTTAAATAAAGCTTTATACTTTTATTATATTTAATCAAACTTTTTATATTTTTATTTTAAATTAAATAAATATTTTTATTTTTTATTTTTGAATCAAATAAGTTTTTACTATTAATTATTGACTTAATTAAATTATCATTTGTTATTTTATATTACATAATATTAAAATGACATGTTAAAATATCATAATTTATTATGATGTGACATACTATTATACCATAATTAGTGATAACATGATAACGTGATCATATGATATTTTTCACTATTTACATCAATGTCATATCAATGCTATATGGATAAAAAATGATAAGTAATATTTTTAATAATTATAATTAATTATAAAAATTTATTTAATTCAAAATAAAAGTACAAGATTTGATTAAATACAGTCAAAAAATATTAGCTTATTTAAATATTTTTAAAAAATTATTTAAGCATTATGTCTTTTTTAATCCTTCAAAAAATTTACTACAATATAACACCGTTGTTTCAAATTAGTTGAAACTTGGCATTTAATTTTATGAATTTTAATTTATTAATGGATAAATAAAGAAAGAGGTGAGAAACAAGAGTGGAATTTTAATACATCCTAGTTTTTGTCCTTGAACCTGTCGGCAGTGAGCAGTTTCATTGGCTTGGTCAACCGCTAATTAATAAATTCATTAATAAACATGGAATAAGGAATTTCTACATCCATAACATGTTGCTTTTAATTTTGCATGTTTTGAGACTATCGGAATCTGAAATTTATTTTTTACAAAAAATTAAGGTAAAAGTTTTGATTTTAATTTATTTTATATTAAAATTTGAATTTTTTTTATAATTTAGATAAAAAGAGTACTAATTTAATGAATTATAATAATTGAAACTTATCAGATATACTTAGGCTTAGAGATGGGGATCTAATGAACATTTGAATGTGCCTTTTACGTGCGGAGGGTATTACAAAAGCAAGGAATAAAGTCAAAAACAGACAAATGTCGGTGATTTAGAGATTCTTATTTTTTTTTTCTTTTTAAAGACGAAATTCTTAGCTGTTAAAAAGTATGTTTTTTATTTTTTTAATGAAAAAAAAGACAAAGACGTGCGTCGGTCTGTTCACAAAACAAGCTCCCCTCTCATTTCGGAAATAAGTCGTATACAGGGTTACACCCCTTTTGGGAATATACCACACATTTCTATTTTCTAAAATTTTTCAGTCCATTATTTTTTTTGTTATTTACTATATACTATATATATATATATATGATAAAAATAAAATATGAAATCATAATTTATTAAAAAATAATTATTTTTATCTATAAAAAATACTAATTATAATATATTCAATTAAAATTCAATATTTACGTATCACAATCTCATATAAATAAAATATTACATGTGCCTTGAGTTTTTAAGTAAGGTTTTTCTTTTCATTTAATAGATGTATTTTTGGAATTGAAACTATTATGGAATTTTTCATGAATCTAATTTTTTTAAAATGAAAGAATTAATGCAAATGGGACACCACACAATAAAGTAGAGGAAAATGACACAGGTATCGTATTATTAAAAGACAAGATCAATTTTTAGATTTATAAGTAATAATTTTTTTTATAAATATATATTTTAAATCATAAATATGGATCAGTGAGATATGTATTATTTCATATTAATAAATTAGGTTCTTAATTCTTTTTATGAATAACAAAATTTTAATTTTTTATTTTTTTAAAAAAATATTTAATTTTTACTTTTTTAGTTTTTATTTCTACTCCAAATATTAAATGCAGAAAAAAATAAAAACAAATTAAATAATTGATGTATCATGATTTATAAAGTCAAGTAGGAGAGCATAGTCAAAAGCTATGGATAAGAAATTGTGAAAATGTTAAAGTCAATAGGGTTCAAAATTTGAGGTAGGAAATTGTTTTCCTGGTGTACCATGGATGAACCAATTGGAAAACAAAAAGGAAGAGAAATTCCAGCAATGGATTGATCTTCATATCTCTTTTAGTTATCCAACGGTTTTGCTGCAATGCTGGTGTGGCTTCGGTGGGATTCGGTTAGGTGTAATATCAATGAGTTAGAAAAGGAGAGGGCCGGTGCGTCAAAGTGTTTGACAAAACGATGCCAAACAGATTCAAACACCCTTAATCTATT